TGTCATATAAAAGTGAATCTTCGAGTACCACAAGTTGAAGGTCCGGGTGTTGGAAAACAACGACTTGTTCATCTTGAACAGAATATTGACCAGGTCAAAGATACAAATGTTGGAGTAAATTGTGCTAGGGCTGCATAACACACAACCATTCAATATGCTGCAGCAAGATATACCCGTTGGTCGATAAATATAAAATATTGATGTTCACCACACAATGAACCATTCATTGATTTCTATTCCATACACTTATCTAAGTCCATATTATTAATGAATTACAAGTGATGCTTACATACTCAGCCATTTGAAAATGTATGTGACTGAGCCAACACGTCTAACACAGGACAAAGAATCATTGATTGATTACATATGTAGTAACGTCGATAACGTGACCACAAAGGTCTCACCTTCTGGTATATCTGATCATGAGGCCATATTCAGCTGCATCACTGTCCCGAATGATTTCAAAATTAGAAACAAGACTTTTCATTACGGAAGACTCCATAGCAGAAACAACTTCAGTAAGCTCCATAACCACTGCACACAATTCGACTGTTATAGCTTATTAAACACAGATAAGTCATTCGAAACATTCTATTAACAACTACAGAAAAACTTCGATTGTGCTTTTTCCATACAGAAAATTAAACATGAAAAGAGGTAACCATGGTTAACATTATAGGTATAGAAGTTTCAGCTAATAATCTACGATACATACCTTAAAAAAATTTTCAAAGGAAATAGGGTTCACTAATCATTATGTAAAATACAGAAACATTTACCGTAAGATATTGAAAAATGCGAAAGAAATCTACTATAGATCTAGAATTGAAAAGAGAAAACCCTACAAAAAAAACCTGGAAGGTGATGAATGAACTCAGGGGTAAAACTTGCCCAAGTTCTTGCAGAACCACGATGAATCCTGACACTCTCAACACTCACTTTTGCACACTTGCTGAAAATATAACTGAATGCAACTCATGATCCCCTCGATATCATGAACTCTGTTGATTTGAATGATGAATTCCAATTGAGAGATACCAACATTTTTGAACTGAAATCAGTAATTTATATTATAAAAGAGAAAAATGCATCAGGAGTTGATGAAATCTCAGCGAACGTTTTCCAAAACCTTCCTGATTCAGCATTATCGGTTCTTGTAATGCTCATTAATGAATCATTTCGATGTGGAAAATTTTCTGCTTTTCTCAAACAATCTCTAGTTATACCTATTCATAAGGATGGGGATTCATCAGATCCAAACAACTACTGCCCCATTGCTCTTATACCAACGTTAGCGAAAATAATTGAAAAACTGGTTAAAATCAGAGTGTTGGACTACTTAATGAAGAATAATATATTGACAGAACAACAATACGGATTCCAGCCAAAAAAAAGCACCAATGATGCCCTGTCGTTTTCTTTCATGAATCAGGTGTACTCGAGCCTCAACAAAGGGGCAGCAGCTGCGGCAGTATTTTGTGATTTCTCCGAAGCTATTGACTACGTGAATCACGAAAAATTGCTGCGGAAGCTGCAGCGATATGGTTTAATGAATAAAAGTCTGCACTGGTTCGAGACTTATCTCATCAATCGACAACAATCGGTTAAAACTAGCTGCGTCTCAAAGGCCTCAAACATAAAGCACGGAGTGCCACAAGGCTCAGTCCTAGGACCAATCATTTTCCTTCTCTACGTGAACGATATGGCTTCTCTAAATATAAACAGTACAATCACATTATTTGCTGATGACACAACCATCCTTTGGCAAGAAGAGAATAGCTTTTTATTAGAATCAAATACAATGCAGGATATAAAGATTATCAAAGATTGATGTGAATCAAACCTCCTTTCTTTGAATATTAAGAAAACCAACATCCTGACTTTCCATTGCAATATTCCTAACTTGAATATTGGATGTGAGGTGATAGAGAATAAATTGTCCACTAGGTTTCTAGGCTTATTCATAGATAATAAGTTGTTGTTTACTGAACATGTGACAGGTTTGTGTGAAAAACTGGCTTCTGGATGCTATATTGTAAGAAACATTGCCACGGGATTAGGATCTTCATCTGCTAGAACAGCATATTTCGCTTTAATTGAGACTCACTTGAGATATGGAATAGCATTTTGGGGGGCCTGCAGTGATCATTTATTTCAGAGAGTTCTGTTTCGCAGAACCGAGCCCTCAGATATACCGGGGGTGTCCCATTTTAATCTTTATTTGGAAATTTCTCGAAATGTATGCATCTGACAAAGAAAATTGACGGAAAAAAGTTGTATGGTTTGGAGGAGGACGTCTGGTTATGAAACAAGTTTCACCCCCTGACCCCCAGGGAAGTAAGAAATGGAGGTAACATTGAAATCTTCAATGGAAACCCCTATTTTTTATTGCAGATTCTGGAAGAGCATTGAAAACTATGAAGCTTTCATTCGGGAACTTCTTTTTTATTTCCACAAGATGGCGCTGCGATCGTAAAAAACAATATTTCTTTATTCACACATTTCAACCTTCTGAAGACGAGGAAGAGTGTAGGGTGTGATATTTCGCCAGACAAACGCCATTGGGGTGATATTCACACGACAAATTAACGCTAAACGAACTTACTTACCTCGACACCTCTACATAGGAAAGAGAAAAATGAGCATGTTTCAGCAATTAAGGTATCATTTAGGTCAGACTAGAGCTGGTTTTGAAAGAGATTGACTACTTTATCAAGTGTTCGAAATGACCTCCATTTTCTTGAATACACAAGTTCACTCGTTTTTCAAAATTCCGCATTGTCGCTTCCAACATAGCAGGCGTTATCTTTCATATTCTCGCGTGTGGTTGGGGGTTCGCGGAACACAATGTTCTTGATGTAACCCCACAAAAACAAGTCTGGGGAAGTCAAGTCGGGTGATCTGGGTGGCCAACTACAAACTAAATAGTAAAATATTGTTTTTCAAGATCGCAGCGCCATCTTGTGAAAATAAAAAAAAAGTTCCTGGATAAAAGCTTCATAGTTTTTAATGCTCTTCCAGAATCAGCAATAAAAAATAGGGGTTTCCATTAATGTTTCAATGTTACCTCCATTTTCTACTCCCCTGGGGGTCAGGGGGTGAAACTTGTTTTATAACCAGACGTCCTTCTCCAAACCATACAACTTTTATTCGGCAATTTTTTTTGTCAGATGCATACATTTCGAGAAATTTCCAAATAAAGATTAAAATGGGACACCCAGTATATAGGCCGGAAGAAATCTAGAGATAGCTGTAGGGACTCATTTAAAAATTATAATATTCCAACTGTGGTTTGTTTATACATATTAGAAACAGCATCTCTGTTTCAAAAAAACAAATATGCCTTACAACTTGTCTCGTCAGGATACAATACAAAGCGGAATGGTCAAATTGAGCTGATAAGACCCCGAACCACTATGGTCAAGAACTCGATCATTTATAATGGAACAAAAATATTCAATCACCTTCCAACTGACATCGAAGAAATATCATGTGATGAAAAGTCAAAGCACTACTCGTCCAAACTCCACTATATAGCATGGATGAATATTTTTCAATGGAGTATTGATTTACTGAATAGGTATATCATTTTTAAATTTGAAATGAAGTTAATATATCTTCAACTAGGTAGACATAGCTCTGTACGAGCTTTTGAATGTTGTTTGTTATTCTTCGTACTATTGTCGTACTTTGTGTTATTTATTTTCATGTAATTTAACAAGCTTTGTCAACAAGTGTGTTTTTACTTATGACAATAAAGCATATTTCGAATTCGAATTGATTTGAATACAATTGACTAATCTGAATTACAATTGACGCTTTCTGAATTACAATTAACTATTCTGAATCACAAATTACACTTTCTGACTAACATTTAACTAATCTGAATTACAAGTTAGACTTTCCGAATTACAATTGGAAAAGGTGTTAGTTCTGACTGGAAAATATATTTGGACTAGGAAATAGCCACAATACTCAAAGTGGAATGAAATGTTAAATAAATGCAAAAAGCTCAAAGTCATTTCCACACAGTGTTCATGAAATGAACAACAATGGTAGATTTCGGGAGAAAAACAACTATTTCCCTGGCTAATGCCACGCAGGATATTGAATTACATCCTCCCGAAATCTATGCATCGACTCGTATAAACGAATACTGATACAAGTGATTCTTTCCTGAATGCCTATTGATTTCGATTAAGCCAGGCCGCTAGACAACCACAGACCGGTTTCGAGCTCTTTGACTCTCATCAGTGCAGTGTAGTCTCCAGCCAGCAGTCCTAAGACCGCCGACTCAGCGAAGCCTAGCCAAACAAAAATCAAGTTGGCATTATATCCACCCCGAGGCGTCTTTCATCGATAAAATGAAAGTAACGCCATCTGAGTAGAACCGAGGAAAGGATCACTCCAAAACTGAAATTCCCATACGGGAGTGGCTGGTTGCCCGACTGGCGTAATTTCAACTAGGAAATAGCCACAATACTCAGAGAATCAGAGTGATTCTTTCCTCGGTTCTACTCAGATGGCGTTACTTTCATTTTATCGATGAAAGACGCCTCGGGGTGGATATAATGCCAACTTGATTTTTGTTTGGCTAGGCTTCGCTGAGTCGGCGGTCTTAGGACTGCTGGCTGGAGACTACACTGCACTGATGAGAGTCAAAGAGCTCGAAACCGGTCTGTGGTTGTCTAGCGGCCTGGCTTAATCGAAATCAATAGGCATTCAGGAAAGAATCACTTGTATCAGTATCCGTTTATACGAGTTGATGCATAGATTTCGGGAGGATGTAATTCAATATCCTGCGTGGCATTAGCCAGGGAAGTAGTTGTTTTTCTCCCGAAATCTACCATTGTTGTTCATTTTATGAACACTGTGTGGAAATGACTTTGAGCTTTTTGCATTTATTTAAATATATTTGGTAAATGAAATGAAATGAAATGAAATAAAAAATTGGATGGCTTCGTGTTATCAGATTAGATATCACCATGGTGAGTACCAACCTCCCGGAACTTGTTGATCGCCATCTCCCCCAGCTCGTAGAACTTGATCTCCTCGCTGAAAACGTCCAACGGCACGTTGACGGGCCTGCGCAGTCGACCGCCGCTCTGGTAGTAGTAGAGGATGGCGTCGAAGGAGGGGCGGTTCCTGTCGAAGAAGTACTCATTGCGCAGCGGGTCGAAGTAGCGGATGCGGCGCGCCGGGTCGCCGAGCAGCGTGTCGGGAAACTGGTTGAGCGTGCGCAGCTGCGTCTCGAAGCGGAGGCCGCTCACCTGGAATTGTGGTTAGGATTATATTCGGCAACGCATGCAGTAGACAAAAGTCTCGAGATCATACCCGTGTGTTCACCGAACACGCTCGATCGTTACCTAAGCGGTGGGGAGACCGAGACGTAAGCAGGCATGACACAATGAGTGGCCAGGCAGCTTCTCTCAAGCTGTCTTTGTTTTTGTAGTACGGGGTGGGCCACCAACAGTTTTTTTGATCACATGTCAACATCTTTTTTTTCGAATAAATAAGAAACATTTGATAGGAATCAAGTGATCTACTGCGACCTATCAGATAATGAAAGCGATGATTTGCTTTGCAATAATTCGCTATGTCACGACGAGTCCTATATTATGTAAATAGCGAACCACTAATCGAAAATCATGAAACTATATGTACATATTATATGCTTATGTTTTGTTGGCGAGGACGCTTGTTTTATTCAAATTATTTTCGATAATGTTCATCTGCTTCACTAGAAATTATTATTAGTAGTTATGTAGTACTTAGTAGTATAGTAGTAGCAGCTTTGTCATTCAAAATGGAACACCTTATATTTTATTACATTTTTCGATTCTTCTAATTGAGATATGATTTCGTTGATCAAGCCCAATAAGGTATATACGTGGAATGTGAAAAATCGAGATTTTTTTTGTATCGAAACTATACAATACCTATATTGATTTGTCAAAATGGCTTACATGTGTCCTTATCCTAACATTCTAGTTACTGTCTACTGATGCCATTCAATTGAAACAAATACAGGGTGGATCAGATTTCAGAATCATATAAAAGAAGTACTAGTATGCCTACTAAAGAAATATATATATATTTGAAATAAACAAAACAAATATATCACATAAAAAAACACACTCTAATATTCGACATAAGATTAAATTCAATCCCACTGGATGTATTTAAAAATATAAATAGTGTGCATGTCACTTCTATAATGGAATATCAACCCGTATACCTAACGTAACTGTTCAATTCCAAGGAGCGATAGATATATATACCAACTATGACCAAAGTGAGGTAATCTTCAGTGAAGAAGACTGCTCTGGTCATGGACCCACCAACATTTCCGGAAAATGATATTAGGAGGCAAGATAGGTTGAAAATCACTTCGGATTCGAAATCAGGACGTAACCCTGTACCTCGAAAACGAAGCAGGTTTAGGACACATGTTTATATGACCTTTATTCATCATATTATATCACAAGGAATCAATCCTCGAATTATTTCGGTGTTATTTAGATACACCCTGTATAGATGATTCTTCATCCCAATATAGTTATTCAACATTTTCCCATAGCGAAGTTCAGCAAATACCGATGGCGAGAGCACTATGTTTATTGATTTGATGTCTACCTATAATATATGTAAAACAAGAAGGCACAACTACTAGTGTTCCGTTTTGGAATGAGTACATTAAACAATGGAATTGACAAATTTGACTCCAAAATAATTCAGGCACGCGCCAATATTCATAACGTAGTTACTGCTGCCCGTTTACGTTTCCCCACCGCTTAGGGAACGATCGGGCGTGTTCGGTGAATACACGGGTATGATCTCGAGACTCTAGTATGCAGTAGAGTCACTGGATGGTATTTGTCAGATAAGAGTTCGGACACAGCTGATTTTCTGTCCTTTTCTGTTTCCTCTATTACAATGGTTTGAGTGAATACAAGAATGTGACATTTACTCTGCTCTTCGTCTTCTCTATTTCCGTGGTAGCGCCAGATTATCAGATACGATTTTAGAATTAATATTTTCTGTCAAATCAATCAATGTCGTAGATAGAAAATAGAAATAGGGTATAAACACCCACTCCAATTTATAAAGTGATTCACTTTTCGCAGAACTATAGTTATAACAATGGAACGAATTAATGTAACAAATTTTTTATATGACAAAATAGGCTCATATGGATATACTCATACCCAGTTGGACTTCCAAGGAAGGCACGATCGTTGATATCTGAGAAGAGCATCGTCCATTTAAGTATCTATCAAATATAAAGAGGCAGATCGCCAACTTTTCTACGATGTTTCAGTGAAGTGAGTGAGTTTGTGAGCGAGGCATCACCCACGAGACAAATTGCCCTTTTTTTGGACAGAATCCAACAGTTTCAGGGTATGTTTGGGTGCTGCACTCCAAATACAGAAACAGTATTCCGGGACAGGTTAGGTCTGTGCTTTATAGATCATAAGCAGCTGCCTGAAAGTGAAATAGATCCTGGCCCGGAACAGAAATCCGAGTTTTTGAGATGCACTTCTAGCAATTGATCTCACGTGATTTTCCCAAGAAAGGTTATTGCTGATAGTGATACCAAGCATCGAAATGGATGTCTTCAAAGGTATGGTTACTCCTGACAAGCTCAAGTTGGGCACAGTGAGATCGGCTTTTCTAGAGAAAAGGCATGATTGTGTTTTGTTCGCATTGAAGTCTACCAAGTTATTGGATTCTCATTCGAGAATTGTTGCCAAGTCCATATTTATGTTGGCAACAGTTCTTCCTCATTCTTTTCAGATTTTCCTGGCTGGTACTGGAGCCCTGGAAGAGAAGGCGATACGGAGAGTACTATCATCCGCGAAGATGTGTACTGGACATGACTTGAAGGCTAAATCATGCTTGAGATCCAGAAGATAAAACTTTACCACCACTTTGATGTGGGACCCATATCAAGGAAATCAACTACATCAAACGCAAAATGCCCCTCTCAGAGGAGATTTGTCGAAATAGACCTCTTTCCTGAGAAGGTATCATTTTTTCTGAATTCTTGATGTTCATGAATGAAACGCTTATGAAGTCGCAGAACACAGAAAACGAATAAATAGTTGTAATTGTGCCCTCTTTAGATGTTTTGTTCAGAATGTGAATAGAACTCTTGTTCCCAGTGGATACATATCTGAGGAACGACCCATGGAAATTCATCGGTAAATAAATTGATTGATTGATTGATTGATTGATTGACCCCCTCACCATTCCCTGGAGTGTTGACCGTCAGGAAGTCTAGACCTATAGCGGAGTGTCGCGTTCTGATGATGAAATGAAAATGATGTAATATAAAATAATGAAAGCTGTGGCGATGGCAACATACACAGTCCGGCTTCAATAATGGTCTAGTCACAATTTATATTTCAATCTGTGATTCTTAATGATCATTTTGATGATAATTTCTCAGAAACAGTTCTCGTACTAATTTATTGTGTGAGATACATTCTAGTTATAATCTTTATTATGAGCTAATCGCAACCGTACTTACCTAAAATCAAGTGATGAACTGAAATATGAAAAAATATACAAATAGCATAAGTTTCAACCTAATTCCGAAGAAAAGCAATTATTGATAAGAAAAATCCGCCAGATGAAGCCTAGCAGGGTGAGGAATCTCTCATGCAGAATGGGTTGGATCGAGTAGGTCCAACCGAGGCAGAAACCCCCACCCGCCAGCCTGGGATAGACAACATGTCAGAAGAGACAAACAAACCAGATAGAGATCAGGAAGTAATCCTGCTGAGCCGAGTGGCACGGATCAGGAGAAACGCAGAAATCACCTTTGAACAGATTCCGCATTGCATGAATGACAACATCTTTAATAGACTTCCCGACACTCTTGAAGAAAAGGAATTCCTTCAGTTCTATGAACGAATGGAGGGTAGACGACTTTGACTCCTGGAAGGACTTCGCTTCGGGCAGAGCCTGATGATTGACCCAGCAATCTCTGGGAGATTGAACCCACCCCAAAGAAACGCTAGAGGCAAGGGTAGCACGAATGAGGAAGGATATGCTTAGCTACAACTCAAATCTAGAGGAGATCGAGAACGCCTATGTCGACATCGACAAGGAGAAGAACAATAAAGATTAGTACGCAATTTCATTGGCCTCCATTCGTCCCTCGGAGTAGTATGACTATACATTATTCAGCGATGCATTTGTTATAGATATAGAGTATACTACTTCAATGAACCTAATTATTATTATTATAATATAAGGAGATAAGATGCATATGAAAGCTTAAAGATATTCAGGAATAGTAATAAAGTAATTGATTCAGCCCTCTGTATAAGTTTCGTGTGCTCACAACTTGAAACTGAACCCTAAAAAATCCCAAGTCATGCTTTTTGGTCCAAGAACTAAGAAAAATATTGTGAGTGACACTATTTCTATTTGAATCGATGGCAACGTTATACCTTTTGTGGATGAATGCAAAAATCTGGGTTTATATCTTGATACTAATATGAGATTCAGGTTGGCTGACATTAGAGCTGTGGAGGGAGATGCATATGCTAACTCTCACCCATAAAATATTGAAAACTGGATACCCGCCTTACCTAAGTAGAAAATTGGTCCCACTTTCACGTAATAATTCCTCATGCAACAAACATATTCTACTCATTCCCAAACACCACACAGCACAATTCACGCTTTGCTTCTCTTAAAATGCATCTGAATTATATAATACCCTCAGAACTAAAAGAATTCACTTTAAAAAATTTCAAGAAGAGATTGAAAGCATTGATTCTTACAAAGGAAATGATATAATGGTTACAAAGCTAGTTTCTCTCCATGCGTGACGATATGTAATGTATGCATTACTTGGTTTTTCATCTTCATTGATATCATCAACTTATTTTCTTTACGATTATTATCATAATTGTTTTCACTACTATTATCACCTTTATTGATTTATTTATATTCAAAACGCATTACCTACCTTAACTATTAGTATAGCATATATGATTATTATTTTTGTTAAATTTTATGTTATTATCACCTACTCATCATTTCTTCTTTTTTTTTTCTTCTTGAGGATGGGTTTTAAAGCAGCTTTGATAGCTGAACCTCTCCTTTTCATCATCTCAATGTATCATATTTCTAATTTGTTTGTGTAATTTCCTTATTGATGATGAATAAAGACAGATTATTATTATAATTATTATTATACAAGACCAAGGTTAACATGTGAACTCAACCATGAATAACATCAACTTGGCGGTTATTGTCTTGCATAGTTGGAAGGACATATACCTAGTATATAGGTAGCACACAAGGATAGAACGTTCAGTTTGAATCTTCTCTTGAAGATGATAACATGGTTAGTGAAACACGTATCGAGGTATCGGTTTTTTCATTGGTGGAACGCTGCGTAGTTTATTATTGTACCAAATGTTCTAGTCTTCGATATATTGTCGATTGGAATTTGTTAGGCCAGGTTACCCTTAGCCGGCAACCTTTGGACTGCTGGCTGGATACTACCCTGCACTGATGAGATACCAAAAAAGTTTGAAACAAGTATGTGAGTGTCGTAGCGTTAACCATGCTAAATCGAAATCAACCAAAATTATGGAAAGAAACATTAGCATTAGTATTAGTTTATACGTATCGATGCATATGCTTCGGAAGGATGTAATTCAATGTTCTGCGTGCATTAGCCAGGCGAGTACTTTTTTTCCTGTCATCTATCACTGTTGTTCATCTTATTAGGATTTGTTGGAATGACATGAAGCATTTTGTATTTATTTATCTATACTAATATTATAAAGAGGAAAGATTATTGTTTGTGAAGTTTTTAGATTTGACTGTTTGTTTTTAGTGTGTATTGTATAAGCTCCGAAACTACTGGATCGATTTGGCTGAAAAATGGTTGAACCAGAAGAAGGGTATCGGATACTTTTTATCCCGGTACGATCAGGAAATTCAAGCTGGCGGATATAATATATCGGACGAGGTGTGTGATTATGGTCCGATTTTATTCAAAATTGGTATCTAGGGGTTTTTGGGGTCGGAGATAATAATTCTCTCGTCAGAATTCGAGAATTCAAGCGGAATTGAGAAATTCAAGATGGCGGAACCGAAATGACAGATTTTGTAATTGGGATCCGATATTATTCAAATTTAGTATCTGGTGGTTCTCGGGATGGACTATTATGATTCCTCAGTCAAAATTAGGAAGTTCAAGATGGCGGACCCAATATGGCGGACGAGTATTGTAATTATGATCCGACTCTTCCCAAAACTGTTATCTGGGATGATTCCTTCGTCAGAATTAGGGAATTCAAGATAGTACAGATTCAATATTGCGGACGAGTTTTGTGAATATGTTCCGATTTTATTAAAAATTTTCATCTGGGGTTTTAGGAGTCGGATATTATAATACTTTCGTCATAATTGAAAAATTCAAGTGAACCAAGAAGGATTTGAAAAAAATGGTAGTTTGAAAAACTAAAGTAATATGCTTTTATAGATAGCGAAACTAAAGAGAAGTAGGAAATGAAAAAATAATAGTGCCTTGATGAATATTGAACTGAAAAAATATATAATAGAAATTATGTACACTCCACTGTTTTACCACTAACCAAACCGATTTCTCGAACGCTTCGACACTTGTTGTTGTTGTGAAGTTTTGATGTTCTCCTGAAGATGCTTACATAGTTAGCGAAACACGTGTCGAGGCGTTTGAAAAATCGGTTTGGTTAGTGGAAAAACAGTGTAGTGTATTATCGTGATAAACGTTCCAGTCTCCGATATATAGAAATAATGTATACAGTGTGTCCCACTTACCATGCTCACCATGGGTATCTTTTTAATTGTGAGAGATACGAGGTTAAATGACACCAAATGTGGAGTTTGTCAAGGCCAACTATTATGTGAAAAAATATTTTGATAAAATCTATTCGTTTTTGTTTCATACGCAAAAAACAGATTTTGATCATTTTCATGTCTCCTCCGTAGCTCCTTTATTTATGAAAATATTCAAATAGGAATTTCACATTCTCATGGCATCTTTTCAAAGTGATTTCGAAAAAAATATGAAATTTATACCAACTCTTCTAGAATTTGAGATATCAGCACCAACTTTAGTTTTTCAAAAGTAGGTCATAGCTCACTATGACTTAGTTACAAATAACTTTTTTTTCTCTTACAGATGTTATGTCGCAGTAATAGTTTTGTGTTGATAACAACGGAGTTATCGTCATTTATACAAAAACAAGAAATTATTTGGAAGCCGCCATCTTGAATTTATAAATTTCAACAAAAAATCATGATCTCCGACCTCAAAAACCCCCACTAACCAATATTGAATGAAATCGGACCAAATCTTGTTTGCCATCTTGAAGCAGCCATTTTTTTGAATTTCAACAAAAATTCCATAACTCCGATTAACTTGAAATTTGGCAGGTGTTCATAACTTCGGTGACAATACATTATGGAATTTTTGTTGGAATTGAAAATAATGGCTGCTTCAAGATAGCGGACAATATTTGGTCCGATTCCATTCAAAATTGGTAAGTGGGGGTTTTTGAGGTCGGAGATGATGATTATTTTGTTGAAATTCATAAATTCGAAATGGCGGCTTTCAAATAATTCCTTGTTTTTGTATTAATGACGATAACTCCGTTGTTATCAACACAAAACTATCACTGCGACATATCATCTGTAAGAGAAAAAAAAGTTATTTGTAACTAAGTCATATATAGTGAGCTATGACCTACATTTGGAAAACTAAAGTTGGTGCTGATATCCCAAATTCTAGAAGAGTTGGTATAAATTTCATATTTTTCTCGAAATCACTTTGGAAAACTGCCATGAGAATGTGAAATTCCTATTTGAATATTTTCATGAATGAAGAAGTTACGGAGGAGACATGAAAATGATCAAAATCTGTTTTTTGCGTATAAAACAAAAACGAATAGATTTTATCAAAATATTTTTTCACATTATTGTTGACCTTGACAAACTCCACATTTGGTGTCATTTAACCGATCTCGTATCTCTCACCGTTAAAAAGATACCCATGGTGAGCATATGGTAAGTGGGACACACTGTATAGCAAAACAACGTTTGCGAGGTCTGCTAGTCTTATTATGACTTGATTCAAGAAATTACTCACGTTGATGACTACCCTCTCGCAAAAGTCGTGGTCATGCGGGATCGGCTCGAAATGGGCCACACCACTGAATTGGGTGTGGGGGGTGTGCCCGTCCTCGTCCTGGCTGCTTAGTTTGGGCAGCGACCTGCAGAAGAAGAAAAACACAATTTTATACGAAGCGATATATCGACACAGGCAGGAAAAAAAGAGTTGCACCACAAAATGCTGGCAATCAAATTTCTATCACCCATAGGCCACACACATTGTAAGGGTATTTCTTCTGCGGCCCTTACTTTGACGTTCTGTTCAGGACAGGAGACTACTCTGGTATTTGACAGATGGGGGGGGAATTCTCGAGCGCCAGATTTTTTTTGAGGTAGTTTACTCTACCTGCTCTGCACACAATATTTCATTTTGTACAGAGGCCCAAAGTAGCAACAGTGGAGAAAGGTACAGGAGGTATACCTATGCCGGTAGCATATAAGCAAAACGTACATCTATTTGGCAAACGGCCTGTATCTACGCGTTCTGATTGGTTGATGCCAAATAACAGTACACATTGCTATACCTGCGCCAAATAGATGTACAATTTCCTGCAGATCTTCTCGCCGCCAATAGGCAGTACGAATTGCGTATGATACCTAAAATGGATGTACACTTTGCCATCTGCATAGGGCTCGCGCTTTTGTTTTTGTTTTTGGTCACTGGTCAGTCATTATTATGCAAGCAGCACGTGCATCCTATCATTGAGTTGAATACCTAGTTGAGTTTGATTTCAATACCTCATTTCAATATGGAATTACCCCAATCTTTCAAATATTAGACGAATGGAGTTACTAACAATGATAATATAACAATTTATGGAGATTTACACAATCTAGAAGAAGGTGATTTGTGGATTCGGGAATTTTCTAGGTTAAATCACACGAGATGGATCGTACGTGAAAGTGCTCCCAATTTAAAACTTTTTGTGTGTTCGTGAGTATAGCTAAGTAATAATGTTTTATTACTTATTATGAATTTGAATCTGTGCTGAAAGTGTGATAGTTTTGATGTAACAGAGGATTTTTTTTTGTTAGATTTCGTTAACGGTTTGGAGGAGGTAGGGGTGGGTAGAAGCAATAGGAATTGTTCAGCGCGACTTTGTATGTAGATATTTCACAAGTAAAAGCTCTCGTGACTGTTTGATTAAACAATAAGTATTCATGGGAATATTCGTGTGATGCAGTCGAATGTGATCAATCAGTAAGATTCGTTTTTTGTCGAGCTTTGGAAAATGGAAATGTGTAGGTTCTAGGGGTGGACGATAATGATTTTGAAATATCGATTATCGATAATCATAATGTATCGATATTATCGATATTATCGATATTATCGATATTATCGATATTATCGATAATTATCGATATTATCGATGTTATCGATATTATCGATATTATCGATATTATCGATATTATCGATATTATCGATATTATCGATATCATCGATATCATCGATATTATCGATATTATCGATATTATCGATAATATCGATGAATCGATAATTTTTCTCCAGATTATTATCGATAATTTTTCCCACCCTTAGTCGTGACAAGGGTATTTTTATGAAACTAATTTTTTTAATGATAATTTACTTTTTGGTTTCTAGGTAGGTATGATAAACAAAGCTATTTTGTCATTATGTTATTTTTCAAGAAATGAGCGATCGAATGATATAAAAACTAATATTGATAATATCGATAATATCGATAATATCGATAATATCGATAATATCGATAATATCGATAATATCGATAATATCGATAATATCGATAATATCGATAATATCGATACATCGATAATTTTTCTCCAAATTATTATCGATAATTATCGATAATTATCGATAATTATCGATATATCGATAATTTTTCCCACCCCTAGTAGGTACCTATTTCATGTTAGTAGGTATATCAATTTCATTGATGTAATTTATATGTATATATTATTAACATTATTGTTCATTCGATGTTTCAGTTTAATCTTGATAAAGAAAAAAAACATGTTCGAAAGCTCGTCAAAAAACAAAGAAGTCTCTTACTGATTGGTCACATTCGATTGCTTACCAAGAAAATGTATATGTGTATAGTGAATACAGTGTACGTGTTTCATTAATAATTGAAAACATTTGAATAATTTAATTGAACATATTTCGACTATAAAATCTTGAGCTCAAAATATTAAGATTCAACCCAAATCACATAGATAGAATGTGTCTCCTGTCTGAGTAACAGCCAACAGGATGTTTTATTAGTTACTATATTAAAAATATTTTATATTACGTTATTATGCTTTTTTTGTAAGTGAGTTAATGTTGTGAATCATCTAAAGGGTGTTGAAAACTTAGTATAGTATATAGGCGGTTCTTTTTTCAAGAAAGTTAATATTTATATAACTTACCTACCTGTATAATGAATAAACGTATCTTTCACAGAAAAAAATATTTTTGGCATCACAGCTCATTCAAACAGAGAACCAACACAAACAAGAAATCAAAAAATTGCGAATGTAAGGCTTAAATTACAATAGTGGTTAGGAAAACTACAAAAAATACAATCGCAAAGCATCTACATGTTAAGGTGAGGAAAAGCCTGAGAATAGAGATATTATCTGATGTCACGTGACCGAAAACGTAAAGCTCATTGGGTGATATAATATTCAACCCCAAAATTACAATCTTCTACTACTCTCGAGTTTCGAGATATTCCCTGTCTTAATTGTCGTGGGACACCCTGAACATTTATGTTTTTAGAATGCACTATCGATGTGTGAATGTGCTGAGTATTTCCGATTTTGTATTATCATTATATTATAATAAATCTTTGAAATCCCATGCAGTTATTGCAGTTTCAATTTGATGCCATAACGTACAAGGCGCTGACGCAACTCCTACAATATGTACTGTTATCTGGCATACACATGCATTTTCAATTCACGCGCAAAACGTACATGACTCTGACTCCACGATGGCAAAACGTACTGTTATCTGGCATCAACCAATCAGAAAGCGTAGACACAGGCCGCATGCCAAATAGATGTACGTTGTGCTTATATGCACCCCGGTACCCACAGTATAATCCAGGGGTCAATGGTATTGAATCGACCTGGAATCAATAAGTAGCCACGGGAGTGTAGGCTTTAATTACAAACCCTGGGTTTAGCCTGGAATACTGGTTGCTATTTCTAGTCGGTATAATTACAGGAATCAAAACAAAATATCTCTCAGGTCTTTGGTATTTTAAGGTTAGGTCTGGAAAATTATTTATTCAACTATTTCATCATTTCTACCTGGAGAATCGGAAACACAGTTCCAAACGAATCACACAGCTTCAATTCCTATTTATATTTATTCTTCCATCGATTTTCTTAATTTTCCAATATCGGAATTTTAGTGAGGTTAAACAATTTTTCCATTCATGTCAAAATTTCATGAACCACAAAACACCGCCTGACGGGACTCAAAACACAGAGACACCGGTGCAAAGGGCTGGATTTTTCAAGTAAAAGAAGAAGAAGAAGAATTGACCACTGGCTTGTCAGTGTCGGCCGTCAGTCAATAATAATAATCAGCAATTCGACAAATGAAAATATTGAAAATCACTAGATAAATTATTGAACTACTTGGAACTGAAAACAATGACAACAGAGAAATGAATATGAAATATGCAGTCACAAAATCCGTTTATTCGAAGATTCAAAATTCTGGATTCTTTACACAGGTCGGGTGAGTATCGGTATGCAAAACAACCGGAATGGAATGAATCTATGATTAGGATGAATAACACTGGTGAAAAATATACAAACTTACATGTGTAACAGGAAATCACTATACAATACTATTTCACACTGGTTTTGAATGAACTATGAGAGCACTAAAAGATCAGCAAGAGTATCAGGAGCTTGAAGAGCAACGGAGAACAGGTAGTGTAGACTTGTAGAGAAGAGCTTCAAGAGCTTAGCGAGATATCCTTGGCTGTCTTCAGTATTTATGCACTACTTTGGCCTTGACACAAGGACAAGTAAATCTGGAATCTCATTGGTCAAAACTCCCACCTTGTCATGGTTCATGGCCATGGCCACTAAATCTGTCCTTGAAAAGCACATGTGCACCTCCAACACAAAACGCGGAAAAAATAATATTACATCCTAAATGGACACAAGAACAGGATCTACTACCTTTGCTTATGCGACTGAATGAATATGGCTGGGAAATATTCAATAACAACAGAGTTTTGAGCAGTCAAACATCAAGCATTTCAACAGATAGATAATTCAATGAAATTTCATATCATAAGCAAAGGGTTGAAAAATATTGAAGTCTTTAGGATTGCAATGATGTTCATTAGAGTTTACTATCAGGAAAAGCTGTGGGAAGTCAGGAATCAATGAATTTCTCAGATCTCTCAGGTTTTCAGGTTTCGAGCTTTCGAACAGGTGATATTCAACTAGAATCAGGCTCAGGTACTTAGATTTTAATCAAAACCAGTCTAGTAATGAAGCTGGTCGAAAACACTTCATTACAACATGAATAAATGGTAGTTTGGAAAACTGAAGATACACCCTTACATAGATAGCCAAATCGAAAAGAAGTAGCAGATTGAGTAATGAAAGTGTGTTGGTAAATATATATATACAACATAGAAAATAACTAACATCGCCGTAATCAGTTAATTCTAAAATGTGTATTTATCAACACAGCTTTATTATTTCATTCTCTACTTCATTTTAGTGATCTATCTATCAGAGGGTGTTTCTTTAGTTTCCCAAACTAGTATTTATTTCCTATTCTCTATTTTTTTGAATACAGAAGCATGTTTCTTAGTGTTTTCATATATTTAGTAGGTATCCAAGAATCATAATCTCTTACTCCGACAACCCCAGGTACTAATTTTTAACAGAATCGCATCATGATTACAAATTTCCTTCGCCATATTGTATCCGCTATATTGTATTATCCAATTTCGATAAAAGCATCATGATCTCCGACTCCGAAATTCCCCAGATACCAATTTTGGAAAGATTCGACAGATTCCTGATTCTTGGAAGAACGCTTTGTCTGTCTTCTTCATCCCCCTAACTTCAACCCACTACCAGCAGAAACCAACTCTTG